TTCCTGAGTAGCTGGGATTACAGACACGCGCCACCATGCCCAGCTAATGTTTTGTATTTTTAGTAGAGACGGGGTTTCACCATGTTGACCAGGATGGTCTTGATCTCTTGACCGCGTGATCCACCCGCCTCGGCCTCCCAAAGTGCTGGGATTACAGGCTTGAGCCACCGCGCCTGGCTTCTCTTCCCATTTCTACCTTTTAAACCTGCCTGGGCTCTCTGCTCTGTCCTTCCTTGCCTTCCAGATTCAGCTTTTTATAAAGCCCCCTCCAGGGATGGGGACTCGAGGTGGTGGGGAGCAGAGGGGCAGGTGCAGTCGTGGCTAGAACTTGTTTCCATTTAGTTCACAGAATTCAGCTGGTAAACCAGTGACTGGAAAGGGTTCAGAGTGAAACCCCTAGTGTTTGGGTTAGAAGGAGCATTCTTGGGATGGCTTACAGGAGTCTAAAATAAGAAAATCCATGTAGATGTCTTGTTTTTCCTGCCTCTCAGATCTGTGTATGAAGATCTTGTGGCCAACGGAGTCATTGTACCTGCCCAAGAGGTGCCACCCCCAACTGTGCCAATGGACTACTCCTGGGCCAGGGTAAGTGCCTTGACTGTCCCTAACAGTGTGACCAGGAGATCTGTGGGGCTATGGTGGTGGGTTTTGAGTTGATTTGCCTCGAATTCTTGGAAACTAGGCCTTCTGTATTAGTCAGGGATCTCTTAGAGGGACAGAACTAATAGGAGATATATAACTAATAGGAGATATATGTATATTTATATATTTATATTTTATTTATATATATTATATATATTCTATTTAAATATATATATATATATATAAACTCATATATATATATATAAACTCATATGGAGCAAGGAGAGCCAGTCTAAGTCCCAAAACTGAAGAACTTGGAGTCTGATGTTCAAGGGCAGGAAGCATCCAGCGCTGGAGAAAGATGTAGGCTGGGAGGCTAGGCTTTCATGTTGTTTTTGTAATAAAAATGTAACTGTAAAGCATTTTAAAACTTCACAGAAGATAATTGAAGAAATAGGACTGGACGAAATTGACTGATTGCCCAACTCTGGAAATGGGAAATTTAGGAGCTCAGTCCCTGTCCCCTTGGTAAAGGGCATTTTAAGGGACTCCCCCATTTCTGTAGCCATGTATCTTGTCACTTTTTTTTTTTTTGAGATGGAGGATTTTTTTTTTGTTGGGGGGGATTACAGGTGCTCACTACCACACCCAGCTAATTTTTGTATTTTTAGTTGAGACAGGGATCCACCATGTTGGCCAGGTTGGTCTTGAACTCCTGACCTCAGGTAATTCACCTGCCTTGGCCTCTCAAAGTGCTGGGATTACAGGCATGAGCCACCTGAGCCTGGCTTGTAGTGTTTTTCATAGTATATTTATTTATTTATTTTTTTAAGACAGAGTCTCACTCTGGTTGCCCAGGCTGGAGTGCAGTGGTACTATCTCAGCTCACTGCAATCTCTGCTGCCTGGGTTGAAGCAATTTTCCTGCCTCAGCCTCCTGAGTAGCTGGGATTACAGTTGCCTACCACCACACTGGGCTAATTTTTGTAGTTTTAGTAGAGACAGGGTTTCACCATCTTGGCCAGGCTGGTCTTGAACTCTTGACCTTGCAATCCACTCGCCTTGGCCTCCCATAGTGCTGGGATTACAGGTATGAGTCACCGAGCCTGGCCATCATAGTATAATTGTATGATTATTTTAAATTTAATTTATTTATTTATTGTTATTTTTGAGATGGAATTTCACTCCTGTCACCCAGGCTGGAGTGCAGTAGTGTGATCTCGGCTCATTGCAACTTCCACCTCCCAGGTTCAAGGTCAGGAACTCCTGACCTCAGGTGATCCACCCGCCTTGGCCTCCCAAAGTGCTGGGATTACAGGCATGAGCCACCGAGCCCAGCCCCATTACATTTTTGTTAGATGGGCAGCTGTATCCGAAGTATATGTAAGATTTTCCCTCTGGATTCATTTTATTTCTGAGCCAGGTGACCTCAGGCTGGTTACTGAGCCTCTCTAAGTCTCATATTTTTTTTTTTTTTGCTATAACACAAGGAATGCTTCTTTGTGAGGTTAAAATGAAGCAATGGACTGGGTCTCACACCTGTAATCCCAGTACTTGGGAAGACTACGGTGGGAGAATTGCTTGAGCCCAAGCGTTTAAGACCAGCCGGGACAACACAGCAAGACCCTGTCTCTACAAAAAATTTTAAAATTAGCCAAGTGTGGCAGTGCGTGCCTTGTTGCCCCAGCTACTAGGAGGTTGAGGTGGGAAGATCGCTTGAGCCTAGGAGTATGAGGCTGATCGCACTAGTGTACTCCAGCCTGGGCAACAGACAGACCCTGGCCCCCCTTCAGAAATGAAACAATGGATATAAACTGCTTAGCCTATTTCTTAGCCCAGGAAATGCTCAGTGAAGGAAAGAAATAGTGCTGATAGGCCGGGCGTGGTGGCTCACGCCTGTAATCCTAGCACTTTGGGAGGCCGAGGTGGGTGGATCACTGAGGTCAGGAGTTCAAGACCAGCCTGGCCATCATGGTGAAACCCCATCTTAAAAAAAAAAAAGAAAGAAAAAGTGCTGATAGTGCTGATGCCAAGTGGTACCATGGGTCCTCCTATTTTCTATGTCCAAAATGATCTAATGTAAGGGCTTTTGCACTTCTTTCTCGGGAAAAGTTTGTTTGAGAGTTGTTGCTTGGCTGTCAGAGTCTAAGACATTCCTGGGGCACTTTGGTTCTGAGGGTACACACAACAGGGCAGTCCTGCGAAACTCTGTGGCGATCACCATGGCCCTGCTTCCCTCTGCCCCATCTCTGCCCAGGAGCTGGGTTTGATCCGCAAACCTGCCTCGTTCATGACCAGCATCTGCGATGAGCGGGGACAGGAGCTCATCTATGCGGGCATGCCCATCACTGAGGTCTTCAAGGAAGAGATGGGCATCGGTGGGGTCCTCGGCCTCCTCTGGTTCCAGAAAAGGTGAGCATGGAGGACAGAAGATGACAGGGCCCTGCACCTCAGAGTTAATCATTTTCCCCCGACAAAGGAGTGGGAGTGGACAGGCCTGGGGAGTGTGTCAAGGGTCAGTCTTTGGGGCCACAGGTCCATTGAAAGGCCAGAGGAAGGACTCACCAGCTATTCCTGAGTCATCCAAGGACAGAAAGTCCAGTCTAAACCAAGAGAAGCAGAAGGCAGTGACCTCACTAGAGGTCTTGGAATAGCCCCTTTGCCTTGGGAACTTTTAAAGAAATGTGACCAATAAATGCAGACCTCTTGATAGCAAGATAGAGGTTAGGGAGGGAAAACTAGAAAGATGTGGTAGCCTAAGGAGTGTGGGCCCAGTGGAGCTGCTGGACAGATAGAAAGTACCTTATGGGCCAGGTGTGGTGGCTCATGCCTGTGTAATCTCAGTACTTTGGGAGGCTGAGGCGGGTGGATCACCTCAGGTCAGGAGTTCAACACCAGACTGACGAACATGGTGAAACCCCGTCTCTACTAAGAATACAAAAAGTTAGTGAGGCGTGCTGGTGAGCACCTGTCATCTTAGCTACTCTGGAGGCTGAGGCAGGAGAATCGCTTGAACCCACAAGGCGGAGGTTGCAGTGAGCTGAGATGGCGCCATTGCACTCCAGCCTGGGCAACAAGAGCAAAAACAGCTCTGTCTCAAAAAAAAAAAAAAAAGAAAGTACCTTATGTTGTGTTCACTTTACAAATGTGTTTCTGCCATCAGCTTGAATGTTAGAAAAAATTGATTTTCTCTGTGACTCCCAATGTTAGCCCTCCGGTGGAACTGATGGCTCGGCAGGGGAGCCAGTGAATATGCGATTCACCGAGCTCTGGCTTACGGTGGCGCTGGGAAGAAAGCCAGGTCAATGTCTTGGGTTGTATCATGCCCTCACCTGCAGAGAGATGGGTGTTGTCCTTATTTGGACCCTCCTGGGAAAAGTTCACGGGTTATAACACCTGAGCAAGTCTCTCTCTGTCTACTGCTGCCTCCCCCGTCTCCAGACTTTGTTCTTGATCCTTAGTTGGGAGGTTGAATACTACAGGAATCAGGCATGGGGCCTCTTACTCTGTGAAAGGACAAGGTTCTCATCCCCTTTCTGTCTGGCACCTGTTGCGTAGCCACAAATACAGGTCAAATCCTGGTGCAGGCAACTCATGCTGAAAATCACTGACCAAAGAATAGATTTTAAATCTTGGTTGCAAACTCTATTTTACAAACAGTATTTGGGGCCGGGTGCAGTGGCTCACACCTGTATGTAATCCCAATACTTTGGGAGGCCAATGTAGGCAGATCACTGGAGGGCCAGTAGTTCAAGACCAGCCTGGCTAACATAGCGAAACCCCATCTCTACTAAAAATATAAAAATTAGCTGGGCATGGTGGTGCTCACCTGTAATCTCAGCTACTTGGGAGGTTGAGGCAGGAGAATTGCTTGAATCCAGGAGGTGGAGATTGCAGTGAGCCAAGATCTCACTACTGCACTCCAGCCTGGGTGACAGAGTGAGACTTTGTCTAAAGAAAAGAATCAGGAGGTTTTGCCTTAGAGTTGTGTGGTAGTATTGGATTTGGATTGGTAGTTACCCTTCTTGGATTTGAATGACTTGTTCAGGGGGATGGGAGAAACTACAAGTGTGGCCTTGTCAACCATCTCCTGGTCTTTGTTGCACCCTCTTCCAGGTTGCCCAAATACTCTTGCCAGTTCATTGAGATGTGTCTGATGGTGACAGCTGATCATGGACCAGCTGTCTCTGGAGCCCACAATACCATCATTTGTGCGCGAGCTGGGAAAGACCTGGTCTCCAGCCTCACCTCGGGGCTGCTCACTATCGTAAGTACTGTCATCCTGGGAGGTGAACAGTGGACACACTGGGCCTTGGCCTCATGCTGCTTTGCCACAGCAGGGCCCTAGAAGGAGTCCCTGAGTGTAAATCCCAGTGCTCAGGCCTGTTCGGGACACACTGGGTTGCTTTGCCCAGCTTGAAGGAAACCCTTTTTTTTGAGATGGAGTTTCACTCTTGTTGCCCAGGCTGGAGTGCAATGGTGCAATCTCAGCTCACTGCAACCTCCACCTCCTGGGTTCAAGTGATTCTCCTGCCTCAGCCTCCTGAGTAGCTGGAATTACAGGCACCCACCACATCCAGCTAATTTTTTGTATTTTTAGTAAAGACGGGATTTCTCCATGTTGGTCAGGCTGGTCTCGAACTCCCAATCTCAGGTGATCTGCCTGCCTAGGTCTCCCAAAGTGCTGGGATTACAGGCGTGAGCCACCACACCCAGCTGAAGGTAACTCTTAAAACTCAAAGCAGCATGCACGTGTTTCTCCTCCAGGGGGATCGGTTTGGGGGTGCCTTGGATGCAGCAGCCAAGATGTTCAGTAAAGCCTTTGACAGTGGCATTATCCCCATGGAGTTTGTGAACAAGATGAAGAAGGAAGGGAAACTGATCATGGGCATTGGTCACCGTGTAAAATCGGTGAGTTGTTACTCTTCTAAAAAAGTGGGATGGCTCTACCGGGTGGGTGGTGATGGGAGGCATTCATTTATATAGGAGAATAACTAAACTTTCAACTCCCAACATACAGAGCTTTGGATGTGTTGACAAATGCCTAATACAAGGCAGCTCTTTTATCCATATTATAATACAGATTGCTCTTAACAATTTTTTTGTCATTCGAGTGCAGTATGGACACTACAGTTGAAATGAGATGGCAAACTTGGTAACTTTGGCTTCCCAAATAACCTTGTGGGAGAAAGGCCCAAGGTCAGGTTGAGGGGACATATTGGTCACGTTATGCTAGATAATACCTCGTGCTGCAGTAACCGACAACTCCAAAAATCTCAGTGGCTTAACACAGCAAAGATTTATGTCTCATTCACACGACATCCCCTGAGGGTTGGCTATGCTTGTTCTCTGCCATCTGTGCTGAAGGAACAGCCCCTGTCTGCGATGTGCTGGCCTCATGTCAACAGGATAACAGCAATGGCAGGACCACGTGCAGGCTCTTAAAGCTTCTGCTTGGATCTTACATGATTCACCTTCACTCACATTTCATTGGCCACCACAAGTCAAGTGGTTATTCCTGGCAGCACTAGGGCAGGAAGAGTGATAATATCAAGGCATATCTGATGGGGAGAGACCAGTGGGAAAGGATGGTAAATATTTTAAACAGTTTATATAGTCTCACACAGGGCCAGTCATCTCTGTGTCCTCGTAGTGTGCTGTAGTTAGAAACTGAAAAGCAAGAGATGAGGTCACTGGCAGCTGCTCAGGGCCTTATGGGGACAGCTCCTTAGCAGATCCCTTTGCCCTGGGCTCCTTGACTCTGTAGCTCCAGAAACCTCATTTAGTTGGTCACTCCACTGGCCTAGGTGGGGAGTATGCATGTGATTCAGGACACTGCCTTCTAGGCAGCCAAACACTTGGCCGTCTCAGGTGAGACACCCAGAGGTTGCTTGATGAGCAAGGACCAGCTCAGAACCAAGCAGGGAAGGTGGGTGGTGCTGAGGGACATTCCATCCAGGACTTGCTGCTGAACTTTGCTCAGCCACCCCCAGCTCCTGAGCAGATAACACCTTTCCCACCCACAGCATAGGGCCTCTAAGATAGTGCTGGACCTGCACACCACACTCACTCATTCACTGTTTGCAGTCCTTCCTTTCTGGAGGATGTACTGACCCAGCTGCCTCTTTGTTGAGGGCGGAAGTTGCTTTGGTATTGCGATTTGGTATGTCCCTAAATCATCTTACACCCCCACTGACAGGTGGTTAATTTCATTAACGGCAAGTCTAGAGTTTTTCCTAAAATTTTGGGAATACTTCGCCTCCCCACACTCAACACGTGTTTGCTTAGTGTGGAACTTTGTCACAGCTTGAGTAGGCGCAGAGCTGGTAGGGCCATGGCTGGAGGCTAGAACCTAAGGCTGAGTTGGAGAGTGGTTAATCCTCAGACCCTTGCTGCTCAACACCGTAGTAACTGACCAGCTCCCTGAACATCTCCAGGGCTCAGTTTCTTCTTTGTAACATAAAAGTGAGAACCTACAGAGGTTGCTTTGTAACCCAAATGAGATATGAGAGGATTTCAAAAACCAGCCCCACGGTAATACCACAATGGTTGCCACATGGAATTGTACATGTGGGCCAGGTTCCTGAATTGCCTCTGGGGTATGTACAGTTCTACCCACCTGTAACACAAGTATGAACAAACACATCCCTTCACAGCAGTGTGTGTGCCTTTGTAATGCTGGGTTCATTTTCAGGTAAACAACCCAGACATGCGAGTGCAGATCCTCAAAGATTACGTCAGGCAGCACTTCCCTGCCACTCCTCTGCTCGATTATGCCCTGGAAGTGGAGAAGATTACCACCTCGAAGGTAGCAAAGAAAAAACTTCCCTAATTCTCTAATCTTATGTTGGATAAATTTATTGGAGGAAATAGCCAGGTTACATTTTGATTATGCAGCTAAAAGCAAACCGAGTTTTCTGGAAATGTTATTTTTCTTTCATAACTAACTTCAGCAGACATGCAGTAAATGTCAGCTAGGTGTTGGGTACTTTGCTAGATGCTGGGAATTGAACTGAGTCAGACACAGCATCAGCCAGTAGGGATGGTGGAAGGTTTTTAAATGATGGTCGCAATTCGTGATAATAGTAGTAACAGTGGAAAATTACAAAGTAAAAATGAGAAATAACGATAAATGCTTTGAATTTTTTGCCTTCCCAGAAACCAAATCTTATCCTGAATGTAGATGGTCTCATTGGAGTTGCGTTTGTAGACATGCTTAGAAACTGTGGGTCCTTTACTCGGTGAGCATTGCAGCTGTTTTCTTCTTCATTACGTTTGTTGATTTTTGGTGTTTCCTCCAAACTATAAAAGCAATGCATACTCAGAATATTTAAAAAATAAGGAGAGGTATAAAGAAGGAAACAAAATTGCCTGTAATCCTACCACCCAGAGCATCCCTCTTTTCTACTTCGAAACCAAAGAGAGCTTTTTCTCATTCCTGGGCAGTAATAGTATTGTCCGTGGGGAGGAGGGTAGTCATGTGAGCCTTTTAAAACTACAAGTTGATTGTGTGTTGCAGGGAGGAAGCTGATGAATATATTGACATTGGAGCCCTCAATGGCATCTTTGTGCTGGGAAGGAGTATGGGCTTCATTGGTGAGTCTTTTTATTGTTGTTTTTTTATTTGTATTTTTTACTCCCAAATGCTTAGAGAGAGTTTCTGTAGTCTGATTTCATTGTATTGCTGCGGAGTCATCTGGCCACAATGCTCTTTCACATACCTGGCCCAAGGAAAGTCACAAAAGAATTTCGTAAAACTGTGAGGGTCATTCAAGGGTATGCTGAGGTGGAGGTGCATAGTAGACACCTGACAGCAACCAGCATACCCCTGAGACTGAGCCTTACGGCAGACACACCTGACAGCAACAATTTAAGTGAAATTTGTTGTTGTTTAAAGTGGTTTTTTTTGTTTTTGTTTTTTAAACCCCCACGGTTCAGCTATATCACTTACACACGTGGTTGAATTTATTTTTCTTTTTTAATTCTCTTTTTGTGGTTGAGTTTCTACAAAAGAAATGTCATATCCTCTTAATCATTGTTCTTAATCTTTTCTTTCTTAAACTTTCCCCTTATCTTTGTTCCTTTGTTCTTTTTTTTTTTTTTTT